GCATGGGTGCTCAGAGATGGCTAGAGCAAGGTCTGTAAATGGTACAGATCACAACTCAGGGATCTGAGACTACTAAAATGTAAATAGACTCTCTCAGAGCCCAGAAGATGTACTGCCAGGGGAACCAGGACCCACTAGAGTACAGGACAGGATAGTCATGGGGCACTTCAACTCTCTGTTTACATATTGAAAGGAGACAGAACTGCACTTTTGCCCTCACATAATTTCTCTTTCAGCCTATTCTTTTATGAATCATATGATTAGTTTTGTGCCTATTATAATTATGCAGTATTTACTTCACAGGAGAAAAAGAATTGTAAAACAAAGGGCATATGATCCACAGTTTTAAGTACTAACTCCCTATCTCAAATAAAATGGATATCTCAAGACCTGAAAGTCAGACCTGACTACAACTAACTGAAAAAAGAGCCAGTTTTATATTGAAAGATTATAGGATAAGAACTTACAAGAAATGGCACACTGGATCAAGCCAATGGCTCATGAAATCAGCAGAGTATTTGGTCTATGATGGTGGCTCCCAAGGCAGCTTTGTTAATGAGCATGATAGGTCTTCCTAATGCCAATTTTATGTTGGAATGTCCTTAGCATCAGATCTTTCGTATCATGTACTCTTCTAACTGTCCCTCCTTTATTAAATAAAACTGTTCAATTAACTTGTAATGCCATCAATTTTCTGAAATAGAAAGGGATTTATGAAGGAAATTTGATTGGTATTAAACTCGATGCATAACTGGGTATAAACTGTACTTAAGAATAATCATCATTCTGAATGTGTGTTCCACTGCTCAATACCTGTTCTTGAAGAGACAATAACTATTTGTCAAACTCTTAATAAATGTCAACAATGAGCTGGGCATGGTGGCACATGCCCATAATCTCAGGAGGCTAAGGTAGGAAGATGGCAAGTTCAAAGCCAGCCTCAGCAACTTATCAAGGCCATATCTCAAAATAAAAAATAAAAAGGGCTGGAGATGTGGTTCAGTGGTTAAGTGCCACTGGGTTCAATCCTCAGTACAAAAAACAAACAAAAAGACTCAAGAATTTTAGAAGATGAATTTTATCATTTGGTAGGAAGATATCAGTGATAAAAATAACATATTCTGTTCTCTTCTAGCCTATCCTATTTTCTGTATTACTTTTTATTTTATTTATTTATATGCAGTGCTGAGAATCAAACCCAGTGCCTCACACATGCTAGGCAAGCACTCTACCACTAAACCACAACCCCAGCTGTATATTACTTTTTTAAAATAAAATTTGTCATGGTTATCAAGTTTTTTTAATTGATTTTTTAAAAAAATAAATGACAGCAGAATGCATTACAATTCTTATTACACATATATAGTACAATTTTTCATATTTCTGGTTGTATATAAAGTATGTTGACACCGATTTGTGTCTTCATACATGTACTTTGGATAATGATGTCCATCACATTCCACCATCCTTGCTAACTCCTTGCCCCCTCTGTTTCCTTCCCACCATGGTTATCAAGTCAATAAATAGAAAAAGCTTATAGATATTTTTTTTGTTAAAATCTCTGCCAATTATTTTGAAAAAGTTAATCACTTTGGCTGATAATTTTAAAATGATCAAATTTTTCAGAGCCCTTTGTACTTTTTAAGAGCAATGCATGCACAAATACATGAACACACACACATATGACCTTATTTTACTTTATAAATACCTTATGTGGTACACAGAATCTAGTGTCAAGTTTTCATTTTGCAAATATAAGAACATATGCACAGAGGTTAAGCAAAGTCAAGCAGCTGAGGAATGATAGGGTCAGATGATAGGGATTTTCTCTCTCTAATCAGTACAATAATTCTTAGATTTTGTGGTCAAGTAGAATTTCAAAAAGTATCTGAAGAACCCAAAATAGGGTTGCAAACTTAGTTATTTTTCAGGTAAAGAATGTGTGTGTGTGTGTGTGTGTGTGTGTGTGTGTGTGTATGCAAAAAACTTCTATGCCCATTGCCATCATGTCATAAAACTGTCATTTTTTTATTATCTACAATAGGAAAAACATAATTCTAGGAAAAAAAGTGTTATTCTTAAACTAATAAAATATGCTGTATGGGGAAGTCACTACATTCTAGTTCTTTTCTCATTTGCTGTGGATTAGTGAAGATCCACAGTCTAGAACTAGTTCTCAGACAGCTTACAATACCTATAAACTATTTGCCTTTTGTGCCCTTGCATGTCTTTTTCTTCTTGTATTTCATTGTCTTTAAGAAAGGTATCAATAAGTGTTAAAAGTTTTCCTTTTGAGGGTCGGGGGTGTTGCTCAGTGGTAGAGTGCTTATTTAACATGAATGATGCCCTGGGTTTGATCCCCAGCCCAAAACATTAAAAAAAGAAGAAAAAAAAAAAGAAAAAAAAGAAAATAAACTAAAAAAGAAGGAAAAAACTTTTCCTTTTGATGAGATTGGGTGTGTACGGCCACAGACAAGCTTTTCCTTTTGAAAGATGCTGTTCTGTACTCTTACTGTAAGAAAGTGATGAGTATCATAAATTTACATATAATCAAAACAGAGCTGTAGCTTGACTAAGCATGAAGGAGAGGGCTGGCAGCAGTAGTGTGGATGCTACCTGGTACTCCACACAACACATGGCTTCCATGTTATTTTAATTAAAAAAAAAAATAGGGAAAGTACTTTATCCAAGTCTTCTCACTTCTCACTCCACTTTCAAATCTATCCAAAGAAATGAATTAACACAGTGACTCCTATCCAGGCAGAGGCTGTGCCGCATCTGTCCTTACCTCCCAAAGGTCTGCTTCTTACTTCATTCCCAGATTTGGTTTATATTCTACCCCCAATTCCCAAGCCCTATAACAAATAAACTTCTAACCTTAAAGTTATAAAACCTTAAAGTTAATCTACCATTGTATTCTATACACCATTGTGTTTATACTCTACAAGGAATAATTATCAAATCCCATCCAATCTTACATCTGTGATAAATGTGTGGTCTTTTGGTATTTGTGATCTATGATGACTTCCTTCAGCTTTGGGAAGGAACTGCATGAATAGTATAGTGAAAGAGAAAAAGGATACTCAACTACGTATCCAACCAACCAAATCATGCCCTGTGATCTGTGTCACAACAAGACTACTTCCAGTCCCAAACCCAAACCAGTTCCATGGGGAAAGCAGCTCATCAATGTATGTTTTTGTCAAGGAAGATCCCCTTACTGATTATATGTTCAACAGAGGATAGTCAAAGAAGTAGACTTTCCCCCCAATACATTAATATATATAATTTTACTCATAACACGAAATTTATTTACATGGGATAATAACTGTATATCACCAAAAGATGGCACAGTAATAATAAACATATTTATATATGCATTTTATGACATATAAAACATTTTATGACATATAAAACACTTTATCAAATACCATTATTTCTTAGGAATATTATGAGATGAGTGAGCTGGGGTTGTGGCTCAGTGGCAGAGCACTTTCCTAGCATGTGTGAGGCACTGGGTTCAAGTCTTAGCACCACATATAAATAAACAAATAAATAAAGGTCATCAATTAATAAAAATATTTTAAAAAGAGAATATTATGAGATGAGCAATGATATTTACATTTCATTGAGAAACAGGCTCAGAAAGGTTATGTGATTTGCTCAGGGTCACACAAGCAAGAGAGCTAGAACCTAAGCCTTATCCTTTGACCTCATGTGCAGGCTCTTTCCATTATTTACATCCTTCCCAAGAAGAGTCATCACTAAAGTTGAGCCCCCAAACCAAAAGAACACACAAAGACTGGCTTTTATTCCAGAGCTATCAATAAGGACTGTAAGGACAGCCCCTAGTATTAAGCATCTGGGGGAAGTGTGGGTTTCTTCAGTTTTCTCACCATTAATAAGATGCCAACGCTATTTGTGTACTTCCTGTTCAGTGCCCTAGGATTCATCACATAAACCAACCAATCTGGCTAAGAGAGCCATGAACCCAGGGCAAGAAAAACAATAGTCATTCATAAAAGAAATTATTTGAAATCACTTTCATCATACATGTTCTTCCAACATAAACATTTTGGCAACATCAAATTTTTAAATAATTTACAGAAATATTTACAATCACATATTTTTGTGATTTATATGCTGGCAAGAGCTATTGAAAATATACAAAATAGCTTATTATACAGTCTATCGTTCACAAAACAAAATAAAAAAGGGTAGCCAAATAATAAAAAACCCATGATCACTAAGGTGTTCATGGATATTTATTTACCATGTAAAAATACTCATTGCATGAAACATGCATAATTAAAAAACTTGTCTATTTTAAATAATCTAGTCTTAGAAATCAAATTAGGACTATGATTTCTGAAATTAATAATTACTGTTGATTGAAACCAAAAGTTTAAACAGTATTAACTAATTCTAATAAGATTATCATGAACATTAGCCTTGCTGCTTACTATAAATGTTTTCTTTCATATCTGATTATAGGCTCTGTTTGTGATTAAAAAAAAAAAATACAGGATCATTAGGAAGCATTTCCAATACCAGGAAAAATAAGCAAAGTAAACTAGGTATCATTATTTCTTTGTCCCCAGTTCACACCATTTAGATTGATTAAAATGTTAATTTTTACATATGTGAATAAAACGTAAAGGAGCAGACAACTGGAGATTGCACGGTGTGCTAGCAATCATTGCGGGTGGGTAAACTGACAACATGTAACTGCATATTAAGACAAATGTAGAATTTAGACAAAGTATTCCATCTCTTTTCAGATGTATACTTTTAAACCTCAGGAACTGTTTTCAGTAGATGTCATGCCTTTTAACTTGAAAAAAGATAAGCGCAAATAAGCTCCCAATTGTCTCCCCAATATGTAAACCACATCTCGGGCTGCTGTCTCTGCTTCTCCTTTGAAGTTTCCCTGAAATGTCATGTGTTGTGAAGACTGCTGTGCATAAGCAAGACAATTTGCTCACTCTCAGAATTCTTACCGGTTTCCACTGCTATTTGGTACCCAGCCTCTAGTCTCCGCGATGACCTTTCCAGCCTCTCTGTGTTATCGAGCAGATGTGCCCTCTGAAAAAGAAAAAGGGGGAAAAATCAGACGACCGTCTACAATGTTCTTTTTTTGCCTTTTTAAAAAATAATGCTTTTGTATGCCCTAACATTTGCAGGGGGGGCAGTGTGGGAATTGTCACAATCTATTATAGTTAATTTTTGGTAAGTCTTTCATTATAGGAACCACGACAATGGACAAATTTCCAATCAGTCATATATGGACCATCCACTTATTTTGTTTAAAAAGGAGACTCATGTTGAAAGTGGCCACAATGAATCTCATTCCAAAACACTGAGGAATGTTATGAAGACTAGAGCCAACAGGATCTTTTCTGTTTCATCAGAGATGAGACACTTGCACAGAGCTATGATCCCATTTGTTTATTTTTTAATAAAATGCATCATTTCAAAACCCATTTATTCCTTTGATTCCTGCAGACAGTAATTTTTAAGCAAGAACTTTATTTTTAAGGGACTGCTCCTCAATTTTGGATGTGTAGCAAGATGCCATATAGAACAACATATGCTACTAAAACAGAATACTAAACAGCACTTCTAGTTTGAAGACAACTTGGGGCACCCACCAAGAAACAAGAGACACATGTTTCTCCATTGCACACATGTATAAAACTGTGGGTTTATTCCCAAATATATGGCACTAGATTGAAGGTGAACTTTTCATATAGAGTGCTTTAGACTCTGAACTAAAATGACAATAATTACATGCACCTCTTTTATTTATGATAGGGAAACCAGGAAATTTCTCCCAAATTCTCAGCTTCTAAACTTTCTTTCTATGTTGAAACTGTTATTTTCTTTTTAATTTTTTTTAAACCATACACTAGATCTATTCAGGTTGCCAAAACAGATTTATAAGCTAATGATGGCTGTGAATGAATGAGAATATATACAAAGGACATCAACATATATATGTCTAGACACTTAAGAAATATATGAATATGTACTTGTGTATATGTGTGTGTGTGTGTTCATTTATACATGTATTTGTATAAATTAGTACTTCCCCCCTCAAATCAGTTTTAGTGTCTGGTCAAAAAGAAAGCAAAAAAATGCAATCGCAACTACAACTTTGTGTTGACAGATGTCACTTAAAATCGAAGAAATGCTTTCTAATAATAATAAAAAAGGAGGTGCCACACACATTATCTGAGTGGCTGTCTAGCGAAATGATCTACCTTGCTCTAATGAGCCCCCATGGATCTTGGAGATGCAAGCTGTATTGACATGCACACTTAAGCTAATACACCTAGACCAGTGCCTCCAAGCTCTAGCAGCCAGGGATGCTGACAGAATATCTCGCTTCCATCTTCAAAGAAAGGAAGTGATTAGTATGTTATCATTACCATTCAAAACGTGATTTCCTTATTCCCTCCCGGCATAGGTGACACATCTGAGATGCGGCCAGACGTTAGAGGCAGCTAAAGCCACATCAAAGCTTTCCTTGAAATTTTTTTTGGGGGAAGGGGGGTGGAGAGAATCATTAAAACAATGCATTTAGAACAGACAGATAGGACCTGATGTGAAGGTCAGGAAGCTGCAATAGCAGTCTATAATAATTAATAGAGTCATCTAATATACAGTGGAGAAATTAAGAGAAATATTGCCCCCTCCCTCTGCCCAAAAAAAAAAAAAAAAGCTAAACTAAATAAATAAAATGGAGGACAGAAGGAAAGCTTCTTACATCATGAAATAACAAGTCACCGAAGGCTGTAATTGAGAAAAAGAAGAGCAAGGGAGCTCTATGTGTTTGGCAGTGACGACTATTTTTAAACAAAATTAAACACTTCCAAAGCTTGTCAAAAATAGCTTTATAACTCCTAATTCTCCCTACATGCAGGTTCTGGGAGTGAGGATTGCTCTTCTCTCCTCTGAATATTGTTTTCTACCTTAACAAAGGATTTAACTTCAAACTGGTGATTCTCTAAAAAAGGTATTAATCAGATTTGTGAAAGCAGATATAAGGTTGAATTTTAATCCAGACTAAGAAAAGAGGAACTTTTTTTTGTTCATTTTCAAATTAGATGAAATCCTAAATTAAGAGAAAACACACAGCTACTATAGATTAAAAAACTATAGGTTAATACTGGAAATAGAGTTTCTTACTTATATGCTAATATATAATGTAGGAAATAAAGCATTTAAATGTAGAATGTGTTTAGGATTCTATATCCATCCTGGGAGCAGAATTTCTCAAAGAACTTTAAGAAATGTATATTTCCAAATAATGGGAGTAACTCTTCTTGGGGAGGGTTCAATTTTATCAGAGTAAATCTGTACTCAGAGGACTATCAGTTTACCAGCTGCTTTCCTGCAGGATCTCACTTGGAGTTTTGGAATCTCTTCACTTAAGTCAAACTAAAACCAAGTTCTTATAACAGCTGTGCTATTTACATTGTTCCCTTAGTTGTACATTGCCCTGGTCGCTGTAAATGAAAAGAAATACACTACAGTGGCAGCTGATGCTTTCAACTTGCCCCCACACTCCATCCCAAACTCATTCTCTCACCCACTTCTTAGCCCTTTTCAAAGCAGGTAAGTGAAGCTGTGCAGGAGCTTCAGACGGAGCTCAACTTGTGTGAGGAGCTGCGCAAAGTGGAGAGCTGGAGAATGCAGGATTCAAATAGCTCGGCACAGCCAACACCAGATCAGCTCCCTCTATGCTACAGCCCTGCCTCCAAGCATGCCCCGTTCCCAGAAAGAAGCCCAAAAAGAGCATCACAAGGAAGGGATAGGGCATACTTTGCTTCCAAACACAACAAAACATCATATTTTGTAGCAGATGGGTGCCTGTCTTCTTAGCATAGGTGCAAGTAAGAAATCTGGGATAACATTCACTGTACTATTAGAATCCCGACTGGGAGACAATCACTTCTGAGCAAACCATATGCCAATTTAGTGTCATCACCATAGTCTAAGTCTATAAGTGTCAGTGCTACATCCATATCAAAGAATTTGTAGAATAATATTTCAGAATATATTATGCTATTACTTGAATAATCTAATTCTTCTGATTATAATTTTATTACAGAATACAGTTTTTGAAACATGAACTCTATACCATGGCTGATGAAACTGCTGCTGCAGGGACAACAAAAGAAGCCACTAACAATAATATATTTTAAGAGAAATGCAGAGTTGATGTTTTTAGCTTTAGGAATTAAGAACTCCAAATGCACAGCATTCGAGCTTAACAGAAATAAATCCTCTCTCAAAAATGCTGCTTGTAATAAGACACAAGATTTTATGAATCATATTCATTGCTTAAATTTGGGGGCAAGAGCCTTGTGTGGTTTCTTCATATAGAGGTTTTCAAGTCTATTGGTAGTTCTGTTATCATTTGAAAATTCAGATTCTTTACTTAAACATGAGAATATGCAAATATATACAAATAGATATGCTATCTTGCAGGAAAATAATAATCTTCTATATAATAGTTAATTATATTCCTTTACTAGATAATCTCCTTTCTTGTAGAAAAAAATTTTAAAAAAGCAAGAAAGTTGGTGAGTGTGAGGGTGTAGTTTGGGGCATATTTCCCCCCTTCAGTTTATATATCATCATTACTTTTACTAAGAAAGGACAACATTAAGGCAATTTAAATCAGAAGAGCTATTGAAAACCAGTATCTACAAAATTCCAAGTTAATGTTTGCATCACCCAGAAAATGATGATCTACAAACATAAAGAATTTCTGGGAAAACTTCAATCAATACAGTCAATCTAAACTTGAAAATAATTCAAAGTACACTGATTATTATAAGGAATTAGGCAATTTCTAAATGGCAAAATGGTTCATTATTTTATGTCTTGATACAAAAATAACAAAATTCAATCTAATTAAATAAAAAATATAACTATCTTTGAAAAAGAATACCAGAACATATTTGATATGTTTGGCATAACTGAAAAACAAAAACACCAAGAAATAAACAGAATCATTCAGCATTCCTCATTGATATAAGGATAAAATTATTAACATTGCTGCAAATATCTGCTTGTCCACAAAATAATTTGGGGCTGCATTATGAAACCAACTTACAGAAAAATGAGAACTCATTTGGGTACTATTTCCTATAAAAAGGAAAGTGTTTAACAATGACGTGAGCTCTGACTAGTCTTAGGTATCTATGTATACGGACAAGTAGGGCATTTATAACATGTGTGTTTCCCCAAAAGGATAATAGATTCATGGTGTCTTATTTTGAACCTAAAAATTTGGGGTGAGGGAAAGAGATTATGTAAGAACAAAGTTTCAGTAAAGTAAACTAGAATATCAGGAAAAAAAAATAAATCATATTAACTTCTCTGAGAAGTTAATAAATAAAGCAAACTTGAAGTTGGAGCCTAAAATAAAATTATACTTGGTGCAAATATATTCCTTTATTATTCTTCCTTTTTTTGGCCTTTAAAATATTAACTTTTCCCCAATGTCAACAATGAACAATGATTTTTGTAATAAGCATGATTAGGATATAGTAGATTTTTAGAAGATAGTTAGAAGAGAAGATTTTTGGACAACAAAATCAATAGTGTTGCTATGTATAGATTGCCCAAGAAAAATGAATACAAAGATCTACTTCAGATTTAGAAAATCAATTTTATAAGGAAAAGTAGAATTTAAGAAAAAAAAAGGGAAGCTAGAAAGTACTTACCTCTTCACGTAATTTTATCAACTGCAACATGAATGCACAAAAAAAAGATAAAAAGGAAAGAAATGGCAGGAAAGAAAGATCAGTTGTGTGACAGGGTACAGAATTAACATTGACAATTTATCTGTTTACATGTTTAGCATTTAAAAATCACAGACAAACACATTAAAAGAACCTAAACATAGACTACATGCAGAGTTTTTTGAACGAATAAAGATCACTTTCTCACACTGTCACATTAAACAAAGAGAATAGTGTGAAATTCTCTTTTAAAGCACATCTAAGACACCATCATGAAATAAAGGGGAACGACTTCATAGAAGTCTATATTATAAAGAAAGAAAACAAGTTTACTGTTCCTCTCTTCTAAGAATGTACCACTGAAAAGGTTTTGTATATACAAGTTTTCAGGATGTTTCTGTATTTGGAATCTTGACAACTGATTTCAGATTTACCAACAAATGAAAATGATTAATAGTTCATGCTTTGGTTCTAGTAAGGACCTAAAACAACAAACTATGATGTGAATATCATATGTGAACCCACTCTAGTAATAGGATTGAATTTAGAGGTAAAATTATTTTAATTCAGAATAAAGTATGCCAGTATAGATAATACTTATTTAGGACATACATCAGAAAATATTCCACTATCCTAGAACTATTGTATGTATCAGTCAATTTTTAGAATTTCACTTTGCTTAAGAGACTACTGCAATCAAATGGCATGTTTTCATTTTAATTCTTTCTTTCTTTCTTTTTTTTTTTTTCCAATTCTTTTCATCTTGTAAACTGGGCTGCCTTAAAGTAATGAACTCTCTTACTTCATTTGTAAGTGTGGCTTCATTTGTAATGTACTCTGTTTCACTAAAATATAATAAAAAAAACCACCCTTCACTTGTTAGAAAATTCTCCTGTGATAACATTTTAATTCTCCTATATAGAACATTTTTCTATCACTTTAAACATAACAGATAAAATTTTACTTAACTTTTTAAATGCTTGAAAAAAATATAATTACATGACTGCCTCATTCTGTGTGTGTGTGTTGCTACTCTAAACCACAATATCACTGTATAGTTGAGATGACAACCACAGTTTCTGAAATGAACAGAAACTGATACCTATGTTGTTACAGACTATAAACCACATTCTAGGTCTGAAATTTGCATCCTCAGCAATTCAGGTCTATAACTGATAATTTTTAAACATCTAAATATCTGTAACATCTGTTATAACACTTGACATATGTACGCCAATAAATTAAACTATTGCTTTGGGAGAAACGTGCTATGAATTGCTCACTATAAGTCTCTTAGTCCAAAAGTATCATGTTTACTATAGCCTGGAATTCTCAATGCTTAATGCTGTTTTTGTCTAGAAATCCAGGCAGGCAACATACATTCCAGCTTATTCTGTTATTTTATTTGTTATAGAAAAAGTATTTCAAGTACTACAGAATGAAATTTCAAAATTGTTATAACACTTTATAAAGAGGGTAAACGATTTACTATGTAATATCTTACTGTGCGTTCAATAAAAATGAAAATTTACTATCATACTTTCAAAATAGACAAGAAGTTGTCATTATTTTTAAATACACTCATTCTCTCAGCAGCTATCCACTGTGTACCAGTAAAGCATCTCATCATCTCACATGGAAAGTTAAAATTCTTCCACAGAAGAAGGGAAATTTTAAACTAAGACACCTGGCCTATCACATATTGGAATCTTTTTCTTTGCTACTTGAACATCATGGGAGAAAAAGGCAAACATTAATTCTCAGAAAGGGACGATCTGGGAATTGATCGCACAGCCCTCTTTTCTTTCTGGGGACACCATTCTTCAGTTGACTATGATACTTAAAGGGCCAAAGTTTAAAACTACTCCTCAGCAATAGAGACCATTTGGGGCATGCCACCCTGCCATAATCAATGAGTGTTTAAAAATGCTACCCATTTGTTTTTTCAATAGGTTCCAAACAAAAAACGTTCTATCTTGTTTGTGCTGCATGGCTGCATTCAAGCTCCACACCGGATTTGTAGCTAAGCTAGGTAATGGGAAGTTTTTTTTTTTTAAATCTTTTTTTTTCAGTTAGGCCGAGAGTTATGCATTCAAGTAAACAAAAGATGGTCTATTTTTGAAAATTAACAACGAACGCACAGACTAGAGTGTAAGTACTGATTTCGTATTTTTATCGAGCTACTAGCTCCATCATAGGCGACATGAAAGTGTGTAATACCGCAATGTTGAGTTATGATAATCAACATCTTTTTGAAACAAAGATTTTTTTTCCCTCCAATGCAGAATTTGATACAAGAGGTAATCTGTTCCTTTGTGGGCTGAAAAAATCTGGTTTACGCTGGTTTGAACCAGTGGAATCTCTTGTGGTTAAGCCTTCTGCTGTGACTAAAATCAAACCTGCACTGCAGAGCATGCGAGGGTTCATGCGCGCGCGCCTCTGTGTGTGAGGTGCGTCACGTGACCCCCAGAACTACCGAATTTTTTTTTAAAGCTGATAACACGACTGCCGTCTCTGTCCGCATACAGATAACGAATAAATGCTGAACTCTATTAAACGCCCTTTACACATTATCGTGGGTCGAACACACAATTTTCTGAACTTATGATGACAGTCTATTTATTTTGCTATAAACCCTCAGCACGTAACGAACAGATTTGTGCCTGGTAATGATCTGCTCTGCCAGGGCTATATGAAATGATACCGACCTTCTTTAGATCTTGGGAATTAAATTGACCGACTTCACCCCCTGGTCTGTAGCTGAAGTTTGACACACTTTATGCACAGCAAGTCCAAATCGGAACTTAAGAGAACCTTGTATTAAAAAATTAAGCAATCATTATCTGCTAAATATTGCTTTACCACAAAAATTTCCTCATGTTTAGAGCTGTCCTACTCTTTATATATTTTTGAATCTTCTGCTTCGGATTTACTCAGAATTATCAATCAATATAATTTTGCATACGGTAACTGTGAGACTACTAAGTTCAAAACTAGAACTTAGACGTTTTATTTGCCCCATTATCACACTCCACTATGAAAGTCTTTATGGCTTCATTCTATAAATTGTTTTTTGTCCTTTTTTGGGGACAGGTTCTTATGTAAGGAAATCAAGTTAAGAAGTATTTAAGGTGTCTCTCTAAATGTAGCATCACTACATTCAAGAACTCAACTCTCAGGGAAAACAAATGTTATATTAGAAGGCAAATAGGATATTTTAAAAAGACAGAATGATAATGTTTATGACAGAAGTCCTTGGAAAGCTGAGAACCCAAAAACACTTCAATTCTGTTCCTTTCTTATAAACCAAAAGAGCTATATTTGATTGAATGAAATAAGTGTAGATCAGAAATGAACTGATACGAGCAATTAATCTGGAAATAAGTGAAAGTGTGCATTGTCTGAGGGACTTTAAAGATACATTTGAAAATTTCTGAAATGTTGCATTTCCAATAATGGTAGAAATGTTTATTATATACTTAAGAGTAAATTAACATAATTTATAGTTAATTGGAAGGTTATAATTATATGCTTAAACAGTCAGGGTCTAGGTGCCTAAAACCCTGCATTACAAATAGCCAGAACGAGAAATGATAGCTTCTGCATTTATATTAGTCCAAACCTTTACAAAGAACTCACTATGTAGGCAGTATGTGTATGATGCATTGAAAATAACTAGTCAGTATTTCTTTAACCTATTTGCAATCATTGCTATTGCTTCTTATTATATTTTCTGATGTATATATTTTTAAATGACAGATATAACCTAATTTCAATAAACAAACCCTTTTTTGGTACTTTTGTTCCATTTTGTTTTTCTCTAAATTTTACTGTATATTGAAAGTTTATCAAAAATACTTGAACAAAAAGTTCTGAAAATCAATTTATCAACAATTAAAAGTAAACTTATTTCTAAACAGAAACTATTTTCTTACATAAATTATTGGTAATCTCTCCTAGGAAAAAAGCTATCTTCGTAGTTTCTGAGCTACAAAATTAATATAAAGAACCAATTTAAAATATTTTTTCTTCAGGAAAAAAGCCTCTATTGTGATTATTCAGCCTAAATAAAAACTGGCAAATAGGATGTTTTAAAAAGACAGAATGATAATGCTTAAGATGAAGAATAAAGGAAAGAATAAAGTTATTTTCAAGCGACCATACCTAGTAAATGATGTGCTTTACTTTCAGAGATTTTAATTCCTATATTATAACAAAGAGCCACAAAACAAAATTGAATGACTTTATCATATGGAAATTTTCCTACAGTTGCCTCCCCCAAAGCGTGGTCTCTTTGAACTTTCAAGCCTCATTCAAATCTTAAACTTGAAAGTTCACATAAATAATAATCTATCAGTTATATATCCTCATGATTATAACTTATCATACTCTATTTATTAAAGTGACAGCTCCTTACAACTAAACTCCAGGTTCTCCAAGCACTTTCAGAATTTGTAAGTTTGATTTATACAAGTCCAGGGGAAATCTCTGCATAATCACTTTAAGGTGACAGAAATTTAATTTGCAAAATCCAGAAAAACATTAACTCAAATGTATTTTTGTGGAATATTTTTCTTTAGGCATAAAAATCATACTTATATGTATGCAAGGCAAATATTTTAGGCACATAAAATGTCCATTAGGAGAAGTGAACATGCTTAAAAAAAGGGATTCCTGTTACAGAACTACAACATTCATTACAATGAAGGAGTCTGAGCTAGACAGGAACACCCCCTTCTTTTCTATTTCCTCTACTTTAGGCAGTAGTTTCAAATAAGGGAAAGATCTATAGCTTTTTAAAGAACTGACATGGGAACTATGCGTTCACTTTTTTTTGCAAAAAAGATAATGCTTTTTTGCAGTAGGTAGGAGGAAAGTTACCATTCATTCATTCATGAAATATGAGCAATCTAAATCTCACTTTTAAAAAAAGAAGAAAATATTTTTCTCTCATCCTCACATTATTTAATCTATTATGAGTAAAACCCCTTCATCACATCACCCTTTTATGTTTGATGTGCTATTTTTTCCTTTAGCTATTCTCACATTTCAATCAGGGAAGCTGAAATCCCAAGTCAAATCTGAATGTGTTTACATGTCTGAACTCAAGCTGATACATCCAAATAGTGGAGGAGTTGAGAACTTCACCAAAACAAACATCATCAGCTCAGTGATTCCTCTCCTGTTTTTCTGGTTTTGTGTGTGTGTGTGTGTGTGTGTGCACGTGTGTGCACAGAGGTGGGGGTGGGGTTTTCCTCACAAAGCAACATCCCTGTTTACAATATTAACATTACAGTAGCTAGGAATATAGTATCAGCATATATGGTGATATTGTATCAGCAAATACAATCTATTTGAAATGGTAAATACAGTTATGCACTTTTTATAATGTGTATTGATATGTTGTTTAACTATCTTATTAAAATTTCAGTTTCTCCAGTGAATGATTTATGTTCAGTTTTATTCAGGCAGAGTAGAGATCTTTATCATACTTTCCAAAATAACATTAATAAACACATTCAAGTCTTGCTTGTGAAGTTTCCTGTCATCATTCAGTCTCTAAATCATCTTTACATTCTTTAAATCATCTCTATACTCAAGTTTTGAAACATTTTTAAAAAGTCATATATTATCAATGTAAAATTATGAAGTCTGTAGTATTAACTCAAAGAAAGAAGTAGGACATTAATTAGACTCATGACACTAGAATGTGATCCAATGAGAACTGACAGCCCAAGTTGTAAGGCCCTTTTAAGAAGAAACTATCTTACTTTTTGTCTACACAGATCTTAAACTGCAAAAAAAGACTTATCCTATTATTATTATTATTACTATTATTTGACAGAAGCAAGATAATATTACCATTATCTGGGTATCCAAGTTGGCACTGGTACTTAAAATTTGCATTTTGGTGAATGTATTTTTAAGAAGCTACACAATAGGAGACTGAGCTGCGCTGTTGAATTTTGAAAGCTTACTTTCATTTGTTTTGCTGCAAGTGTTGATTTAATTATACTGCATTATTATCAAAGCTGTATTATGTACTTTTTTATTCCTTTTACATGTGTTTGAGGTGAAGACCTTGGCTTTGTCTGCAAACAGTGTGTTTCAAGTTATTCCTTAAGTACTAAATAATAAAGAAAAGAGAAGAAAAGATTTTTTTAAAAGATAGCAGACAGTGATCACAAGGTAAAGGGTTAAATGTAAGATCTCCAAGAAACATTTTGAAGTTGATTAAGACTCCAGCTTTGCATTAAACAGTATCGCTTCCACATGAGTTGCTGCTAATACTGTTAAGGAGCAGCTTGAGAGCCCAGTGTGCCTGTGACCTCCTTCACCCTCCAGCCACCCACCGGGCCTTCCTGATTAGCATTCTACCTGGTTCTCTGAGGAATTCCCATCATCCCCTAGGAGCTCATTCCGTACTTCGTCACTGTAGGCGATCCGTGACCTTTTCTATAAAACAAAACAAAAAGGGAAAGAGGAGAGGAACGTTAGAAAGTAAAGGCTTCGAAGCGTTATGGTATCAAGGCTGATCATCTCAAACCTCGAGAGCCCCCTAATGGAAAGCTATCTATTGGCGAAAATCTGCAAACCAAAGTTGCCTAAAGTTCCTGAACTTGAGTAATTTAATGTAAATAAGAAGTTTTTAAAAATGTCAATAATGAAAGAAAACTGCATTGTGCACATATTCTATTAATATTCATAAATGGGTTAGAACTTGTATATCATTCTGTACATCAACATTCAAATAAGACTACTAAACTGAAAGAAAGGGAGCTAAATAGCTGAATATTTATAAACCTTAGATTGTAATTTTAAAAAACTGTATATTGTAGCAGGAAATAGACTGTATAATTTAGAGCTTTTAAAATTCTAATTCTAGGATAATCATTATATCTCAAATTTTACTCTGGAATCCCTGGCCTCACACATCTATATTTCTTTCTTTATTGTGATGCTACTAACCAGAAAGAGAAGGATTTTAAAACTTATCCCCTATCCAAATAATAATTTAAATATCTCCAACTTCTCTATAAATTATGGCCTAATGAAAAGGAGTATGTGTGTGTGTACACAGCCTGTGTCTGTCTGGTAAAGCAAATTAAAATTTTCAATCCTAGTAAATAAAGGCTAGTAAGCTATGAGTCAACCTTTCACAATCCCAGTAATAAAGACAAGTGGGCTGAGTCAATGTTTCATGCACTGAAACTTTGTTTTACAAGAAATCTACCTGCACTTGTAAAGTTGGAGGGGCATGTCTGCAAACAATTAATGAATTATCTAAACGTATATACAATTTGGAAAAGGTAAATGACTCTGAAAATTAGTTGTGAAACTATATATGGTCCTCAGTTCCTACAGCATCTTCACTATTTCAGACCCAAATTCAGATTTACAAGTTACTTTGTAAGCTTTTCTGCTTCTGAACTAAACAAAAATGATCAGTTAGAAAATAGAGACAGCTCTTTCTCACTTGAATGTACACTTTGAGACATAAATTTCTTACCTGTTCAATTGTGGTCTGAAAAAGCATTGTAGTTGAAAAGGACTATCCATAATCCATGAGCAGAAGTCAACAATAAGATTTCCATTACATTTTTAGACTAGTGAATAAGTAACACTGCTTGGCCACATAGAGATCATAACACCATAGACATGAAATCATATCATACTGGAATTTAAAAGGACCTTAGACAAGAACAACCAAAGGATTTTTTCTCAATTTTTCTAAGAATGACACATAAGAGAGAATTTAGTTCATTACATACTATTTAAGACTGGGGGCTTACAGTTTTAGCAGAGCACAATTAAAAAAGGCTCAGTAGAGTATAAATAAAACAAAAAACCTACAACCCCCCTTTTTAGGGAAAAAAAAAGTTTCATGGAGTTCTAATAGTATGGTCATGATCAAACTGAGACTAGAATTTAGGAGGCCTGTTTAAAAAAAAAATTGCTCCCTATTCTATTACTCTGTGGAAAGACACAGGGGAAAAAACAGCACAAGAATTGCAAAACGTTTCAGTATAAAGGAGATGCCTTTCCTGCCCCAAGTCTCTGCTCCAAGACCATCACAAACATACACCTTTGCACTCACAATAAATATGTAAGGAGGTAAACAAAACTACCACAATATTGTGGGGGGGACAAAATAGAGAAGTTGCCATTAACCTGAGATCAATAAAGACAACTATATCAGATCTCCTGAAAATTAGGAGTGCCCCAACTCATTCATCTATGAACAAACCTGACATTTTTATCACCACAAGCAGCATATATTAAGGTTGTATATTGTATTTACTGAAATTACTATTAATTAGTTATTTCTATTGACTTTATGCAGAATTGCATTTTAAAATGCTAAATTACAAGGACAATCTACTTCATGGCTTTAATACAACATTTAGACCAAGCTAAAGCTTTCTTTTGCCCATTTGGAGATCTCCAGTATAGTAGTTTCAAACTAGCTAAGCAAAAGTATTTTATGGCATTAAAGGGAATGAGAACCTTTAAACAGGCTGTGGTATCAGAGCTGCCTTTTTAATTATTCATTTCATCACTATGGGGGACTAAAACATTCCGCAGTATGCAAGAATATCATATGGAGATTGTTTTTGTTTTTTCCTTTTTTCAACAAAATACCAACAAATTGGTATAGATTGTTCAATTACATTATATCTTTTTTTGATTTAATATACTAAAAAAGAGGAAGAAAATTACAAGTGTGTATCCCTTAAATATCTAATCTTGTTTTGGTTAGATTGTACTGCAGAATGTACTGCTTTTGAAAACCAGCAATTAAGAGCATGCATGCTTAGCAAGAGGAGACCTAAGGATTATCTGCAGTTGAGGGGTGGTCCCTATCAATGTCATTCTTTACCACTGGGATGGTAAAAACTGGTCATTTGGATGGCTTTTCTAGATGCAATTAAGCAAATGATAGCTGAGTTTAACAAAGTATTCTTGGACAGGATTGACTTTTCTTAAAGAAAAGACAACTCATTTCAAATATCAAAAAATAGTTCTACCCCTTGGAAATGGCACAGTAATGCTAAAATAGAACTCTTTTCACTTGAGTTTTGTCTTATAAAAATAAAACAAATCATGACTTTGTTTTATTAATAATTTTATTTGAATGCCCAACATTGGTTATTTTCTTATATTTTCTAACGGTTTAAAATTTTCAGTAAACAGATTGATTGTATGTAATCAGATATAATTTAGCCTGCAAGACCATAACTAAACTAATTGAAAAAAAAAGGGCAAAATTCCTCTGAATGACAGACTGCTTATTTTAGGAATAATTTTCCTTCAAAACATCAATAAGTTCTGCTACCTTTTATGGAATTAAAAAAACCCTCATGCTACACTTCTGAGTATCTAAATAATATTTTAATTTAGAGGATTCAAAGTTAATGAAACTGAAATCTCTGTTGTATCTTGATAAACATAACTAAAATATTTTTACTTCATTATCAACAGTATAAAATCTGTACTTTAGCCAAATGCAAGCATGAGAATTTGAGCTGGAAATGTCACACATTCAGCTACAGTTTGAAGGAACCCAATTCATAATGCATTTTATAAATAGTTAATGACTTCTATACATAAGCTAACCAGGCAAATCAAGAAATTGTCAACATTTTTAGTCTTAGTTGTCAGTTCCCACTGTCTACTGGTGCTTTATATGTGGCTCTGGAAAAGACAGAAGCTCTATGCAGTTTGTAATCTACTTCAGTTTCTGGTCTATACCATAAGGGTGAAAAAGCTTCAACTGCCAAATCTCTCTCTCTCTCTCTCTCTCTCTCTCTCTCTCTCTC